TGCACAAAAATTCAACAACATTTTTGGAAACGATGGTCGGTCGAATATTTAAATCAGTTACAAAATCGACCCAAATGGTTAAGAAATAATGAAAATTTGAAAGTAGATCAGATTGTTTTGTTAAAGGAGGACAATGTACCTCCTCTAAGGTGGCCTGTAGCAAGAATAATCGAAATTTTGCCGGGGCGCGATGGTAAAGTCCGATTAATAAAATTGAAAAGTAAGACAGGAATTTTCACCAGGCCGATAGTAAAGGTGTGTCCCTTACCTGTAGAGGGATAAGTCAGACTGTAGGTATTGATGTAGTAATAGTGTAAATAATAGATATGTAAGGCAAGTTTTACTTTAGATAATGTTTTATGTTACAGTTATTCTTTATACATTTAGTATTTTTATATTTAATTATACTTAAGAGATTTATGATGTTTTGAAGCGAAAGCTTCAAGAGGGGAGTATGTTCAGATTTCCTAGAGAAAATATTTGGTCTGCTCCTTTTTGAAAAATATACATTTACAAGGGCTGGGATTATACCTGCTAACTTTCTCTTTGGGGCACTATGGGTTATATGCAGGCAGATCGAAACTTGAAAACAAGTGGCAATAAAAAAAGGTTCAAGGAGGAGCCAGGCAGTTTTTCGGAAAGAATTTCAGAAAGAGAAGTACTTTTGCTTCTTTCATGACGAGTAGGCGCTCTCGTATCGGGTTTATAATTCAAGGAATATAATTTTGGGAAATCTGCACATAAACAAGGTTATGTGTAGGTTAAGGTTTTATACATTAAGTTTTTGTACATAGTGTTGTGTTTTGGAAAATACAAAGCTTTAACGCAACAAGGGTTTTTAATTTAGCAATACTAGTCCATTGGTTCATCCTGAGCTAACGAGATGATGTGTAGCGAATTACGCACACACTGAGAAAAAAGAAATAAATTGACCGTTGCAGAAGTGAATCGAGAAATAAATTGACAGTGATAGCAGTGAAATAAATAGCGCAGTGAATAGTGATATATCAACAGTAGAGGAGATAAATAGAATAAATCATAACCTAAGTTAATTTTCTTAAACCCACGAACATTATGGTGTTGTCACATCATTGTTACAAGAATTGTTCTACTCCAATGACTGATGTTTCGATGAATTAGTTTATTGAACTAAATACAAGGTTTAAACGTTTTAAGAAACAGCTTGACTGTAACATAAACATGTTGACTCACACTTAATCTAATTTAACACATAATAAACAATCCATGAGAAAAAAAAAACAAAAGTACAACCACAGCCGTCTTTAGTTACAAGCCGTGCCGAAGGTTCACTTGGCGAGACTGTGGGAGTCCTAGGATTTCCCAGTTAATGAGAGTTACAGCTAATACATTGATTGTTTTGTTTTATGCAAGTTCTATATTTTAATTTTAGTGGAAATATCGTGCAATAAATGTGCAATAAAGTTACTTATAGTGTGTTTTAGCGATTAATACATTTAGATGCAGTTTTTAATTGCAGAAGGAATATTAACTATTAAGTGAAAGAAGTAAAAGTGTTTTAGGTCAGATTGTGAGTTTTAGTTGTATTTTTCTTGTTTATTTTAACAAAATGCCTCGCCGTTGTGTTCCCGGTTGCAATTAAAATATAAATCATCTTTAAAATGTTGTAAGTGTACGTCTATATTTTTATTCCCAAAAAATTATGAAATGCGAAAAAATGGATAAGTGCAATATCACGCAACGATTGGACTCCCTCAAATTACTCTGCAGTTTGCATACATCACTTTAACGAAAATGACATTATAGAACAGTAAAAAAAATGTATCCACTGCTGGAAATGTTTTCAAATTACCTTCAACACATTCAAAATTACAAGAGAATAATGAAACAGGAATTGACAATGTTGAAAATTCTCCCTTAGACATAGGTCAGTTTATTTAAATTTTAATTGTCGATTATTTAATGAATTTTGATTTAGATGACTTCTTAATTTAATTTCAGGATATGTAGTTAATTCTGCTCGTAAAAAGGTAACTTAACTTGGCTCATAATAAACAATAAAGGCTCTTGCTTTGGAGATATTTATTTTGATTATTTACAAGGCGGAAGGCATTCCGTTCCTATTGATGTCAGTATAGTTTTTTTGCACATTTCTGCCATTCTTGAAGAAATAAGTAATAACGAAAATCTGCGGACACTATTTTTGCGGGTTGAACATCTAAAACCAATTTTAGGAAAATTAACTACTGAAAGTATTAAAAATGATATTGTTTATTTAGAATTTTCAAAAATATGTAGTTGTAGAAAATAAAGATATACTCTTCCAAAATTTTATCTTCTTTTGCTAATGTGTTACTTAACGATTGCATTAAAATAATGAAATCAAGAGTCCCGCCATTCCAATACATATTCAGCTAACTGTAAGACAGCAACAATCCATAAATTAGAAACATTCAAATTGTAATTAATTTTTTCTAATGGGATGATAGGGCTATTGACGAACACTAACAAAAGGTAACGCGTCTTGACAATAATTCAATAATGGTGTGGAAATTTGCCTTAATAATTACAATTATCGAGATGACATTCGTATAGGTACCTATTAATGTTTACGTAATCTTTTCTATTGTGGTCTTAATATCTACATATTGTAGTATATTATAAAGTCACATACTATCAATGATGACTAATTAATTAATTATTTATTTATTTAGCGTATGGCTACATCACAACAACAAAATCACAGTAGAGATATATAATAAAGTATATATATATATAATTTATATGGTCACATGAATAAACAAACAAGTCAGTGCAAAATAAAGCTAGGGTAGAGTATAGACAAGGGTATGATATGATATCACAGGCAGACATCTAAACTTCTGATGTATTTGACTGCACTCTGTGTGGCATCCATAAAGTCCTCCAAGGGGCCGGGATAGCATCTAGAAGGGCAAGCTTCAATTATGTGACGGACAGACTGATTACCAGTACCACAGTCACACTCAGGAGATGGCGCTTTTCCACATTTGTACATTAAGTCCGCACATCTTACATAGTTTATTCGGATTCTATTTAGGGTTGTCCATGTTTTGTGCGGCAGGTCGAAGCCTGGTGATTCCCGTGTGATTTTTGTTGGATCGTAACAGTCATCAAGTACTTTAGTTGTCCATTCTCTTTTCCACATCACATTGAGGTCAAGCTTTAAGAATCTGGGTGTCCAGACCGGATCCTGTTTAATTCGACGGAATCAATATCCTCATGTATTGGTAGTTGGGACTTCTCTATAATTTTTTGATATACCCTGGCAAGGGCCCTTTGTCTTTGGAGATGTGGTGGGGGAATGTGGCTTAAAGTGGGGAGCCAATAAATAGGAGTTGTTCAACTGAACATCCACTTTATTTATGTGGGAACTATTGAGCCACACGGGGGCACAGTACTCTGCGCAGGAATAAACTAAGCCCAGGGCTGAAGAGCGCAGGGTGGAGGCGGAGGATCCCCAGGTAGTACCACAGAATTTGTGTATGATATTTTTCCGGGTGTTGATTTTTGCTGCAGTTTAGGAAAGGTGTTTTTTATAACAAAGGGTTCTATCGAGAGTAACTCCTAGGTATTTTGGTGTTTTTGGTTCTCAAAAGGGATTATAAACTCTCTGTTAGCCATTTTATTATTAAGATGGAAGCAGCTCACATCTGTCTTAGATGCGCTAGGTTGTAGCCTCCACTTACGAAAATGTTCTCCCAAGATGGCCAGGTCCGCCGTTAAGATGGACTCGGTTACTTCAAAGTGCTTGTGTCTAGCAGCTATGGCCCAATAATCTGCATAGCCAAACTTTTTTGATGTTGCTGGCATGTCACAAATGTACAAACTGAATAATAGAGGGTGAAGTGCATCATTCAGTTTGTCCAGCTGATGACAGTAGACTTCCGAATTAATCGTTGTGTTATCCGGTAAAAGCTAAAAAAAAACGATTCCTTTAAAATCCCACCAAGCAGACAGCATAACCTTTTTTTGGTGAATATCGGCTTTGGAAATGGTTTGAGCCGGTTCATCTTTTTTGCTCCATGACCTTGTTGTATACAACCCATTTTTCGTCCCCAGTGATGATGTGCTTCAAAAACGGATCATTTTCGTGACGTTTGAGAAGCGAATCGCAGACGTCAATGCGGCGACACAGATTTCTCTCTGTGAGAACATGAGGAACCCATACATCGAGCTTCGAGGATAATCCCAGGCCTTTAAAGTGGTCATAAACTGTTGAATTTGATAAATTTAACCTCAATCCGATCTCAAGTGTTGTTATTCGCCGGTTCACATCAACTAATGCCTTTATCGCGTCTTTATCAGCTTCAACCGGCCTTCCCGAACGTGGTGCATCTTCGACATCAAAATTGCCGGATCGAAATTTAGCGAACCAGTTCTGGCACTGGCATACTGTCAACACACCTTCTCTATACACATCAGTCAATTTCTTTCTGGCCTGAACAGCATTTTTACCCTTGCTGTAGTAAAACAGTAAGATATGTCGAAAATGCTGCTTATCGTTCTCCATATTTAAAAGGGCACTAACCAAAACCTACTGCGTAGAATTAATTGGAATTTTTCACACACAAGCCTTGCTATATGAGCTCGCAAAGCATATAAAAATTATACGGCTTAAATGTGAAGTTGGGTGCAAAAGAATACAATTAAATCCTCTATCGGGAAAAAACGAAATGAGTTTCCGAACAACCCAATATTTCTTTCCAGGGTCGGAAAGCATTTGTCTGTACAATGTACATACTACGTTTTTTTTTTTTTCGAAAACCCTAACCTTTTGAACTTACAAACATTCATTTAATTTTCTCGTTTTATAGCGTACAAATATTTTTTTACAAAAGCAAAACTGGTATAATATCAAAGGGGCCCACCCCCATATACGGCACACTTTTTTTTGTACACTTTTAATGAAAGTTTGCAGTACTTATATTCTATTCCCCCTTTTTTGTTAAATAAAGGGAAATTTATTGTTTGTTTTTTAGGTGGAATGATATTTAATATTGATTATTGGATTTCACCTTCGAATCTTGGCAGCCCAATTTATTTTGCTACATTGCTAAAAAATAACAAAACGTATAGTGGTTTTTTAACAGTATTCAATGTAAAGTAATAATTATTTTATATCTTATTTACGAGCTAGAGAAAGTATACTGATAGACTTTTCTACTAGTACACGGTAAACATAAAAGTATAAATTTTAATTGAAAAGGGGTTTAATCAAAAAATTTGCAGATCATACTTGGTTGGACTGTTTTTTATGATAACAATGACATATTTTCGAAGGACTCAAAGAACTCAAACAACTATAAATGAATATTTCTCCTTGGAACCGATTAATGAAAATAGGAAACGTAAAATGAGGGGTTTGTCCTTAAAACAACAATTTGGGTCAGAAGAATGCACAGAAAAGTACAAAATTTTACAGGACATATTGAAAAAAAGTAAAGATTTCGTAAAAGATAATCCACATACGCAAAATGTAAATTTCATATTCATGGCACTTGATCAAATAATTTCAGATAAGTATTTTGGATCTAAGTCTAACAGAAAAATATTTTATTGCACCGTGAAAAAGATAATTCGAAGATCCAGGTTCGAATGTATCTACCGACGTGAGTTATATCAAGGATATGATTATACATGCATGACTTGGTTGACACGTGAACAAGATTTTGTGGTGGTGAACGAATGGGTATTGAATCGTATTGTTAAACCGATCATTAACAAGTATTTTTTTGCTATGAAAGATATCAACACCAATTATGGGTTAAAATTAATTCCCATGAGAAAATGGTTTTCTTTTCAAACCAGAGTTATTCAAAATATGATTAAGAACCAACACCTACAACCACTCTCGTGCAATCCTACATGCATCAGAGGAAAATTATCTATTTTAATGAAAAAAGACATAAATAATGTTGAAAGTTATCGTCCAATTGTATTGCTGAACAAGAATTCTAGGGGTAGTGAATCGAGGAAGAAATTAAAAGAAATTGCAGCTTCAATTCGAAAATTAGCGTCTGAAATGTGTGATACGAAAACTAAATATTTTTATCAAGAGTGGTCAAAGTTTGTAGAAGAAACGGGTTATAAAAATATTTACGGTGCAGTAGCGGACGTTAAAGATGCTTTTGGTAGTATAACAACTAAGAAGATGTCTAATTTATTAGACAAGCTTGTTGAGGAAAAGAATATGGAAAGTGCTAAAGGATATTACATCAAAGCTCATATACGCAACCAAAATGTAATATATCAGTTTACACGTAAAGGAATTCCTCATATAGGAAGATGGAAACACGGTTTATTACAGGGTGATATTCTTTCTTCAGCCTTGTGCCAGTTATACATAAGCGATCTCGATCGGCAGTACTTGACGGGATTTTCTCAAAACTTTCTCCTTCACCGTTCAACAGACGACTATTTCTTTTGTACAACAAACCGAGAAGATTTAACAAAATTTATGGCAATAATGAAAAAACATTATAAAATAAATGTGAATAAGTTTCAATCCAGCATAATCAATGATAATATACTCTTATACAACGGAAATATATTTATAATGGGCAGTAAAGAAATAAAGTGCCACTATAAATTTAAAAAAGGCAGTTTGATGAAGCATAAATGTAAATTCTGGAATTTGAGGAACCAGGTGGCGTACGAACGACTGGACTTATTTATTAAAAGAACATTGGAATTTCCTTGTAATAATTATTTTTTTAGTAAGATGTACATTAATACAGTATTTAACAGCTATGCGACCGTTCTGGATAACTTTTTCGAAGGGATGGTATATATTGCTTTAAAATTTGATGCTGCAGTAGTAGCGGCGTATCGAGAAAATATTCCATCAGGACTTCTCATCGAAGTAATTAAAACAGTCTTTAACAGATATTGCAAAAAATGTATAGGTATACTAAACAAAAATGCAAAAAATGACGAAAATACAAGAATTAATTCGAAAAGTCACTTTTATAAACTAAGCATTCTAGCATTTCAATTGGTTTTGAAAAAACGAAAATGGTTGTATGGTGACACTATTAAACAACTGAACGTAATGAACAAATCGCACGTTGTTCTGCAGAAATGTTACATCAACATGCAACGCTTTAGGAAAATTCCAGATGTGTTTAAATATTTAAAAATTGGGACCTGTATTCGTTATAAAAAAATATGTAATAAAAAATGTTAAAAGATTTTATTTTTAATACATTGTTTCTGTATTTTAAACGTTGTTATACTAGGTAATAGTGTTTTATACAAATTTTGACATGTAACACCGTAGAAAGATTACAGATGTGTTTAAGGATTTGAAAATTAGCACTTGTTTTCGTTTTAAATTAAATATGAAGTGAAAAATGTTAAAAGATTTTTATTTTAATACGTTATTTTCTTATTTTAAATGTTATTATACCATGTAATAGTGTTTTATACGAATTTTGGCATGTAACAATATAGAAAGATTACAGATGTGTTTAAGGATTTGAAAATTAGCACTTGTTTTCGTTTTAAATTAAATATGAAGTGAAAAATGTTAAAAGATTTTTATTTTAATACGTTATTTTCTTATTTTAAATGTTATTATACCATGTAATAGTGTTTTATACGAATTTTGGCATGTAACAATATAGAAAGATTACAGATGTGTTTAAGGATTTGAAAATTAGCACTTGTTTTCGTTTTAAATTAAATATGAAGTGAAAAATGTTAAAAGATTTTTATTTTAATACGTTATTTTCTTATTTTAAATGTTATTATACCATGTAATAGTGTTTTATACGAATTTTGGCATGTAACAATATAGAAAGATTACAGATGTGTTTAAGGATTTGAAAATTAGCACTTGTTTTCGTTTTAAATTAAATATGAAGTGAAAAATGTTAAAAGATTTTTATTTTAATACGTTATTTTCTTATTTTAAATGTTATTATACCATGTAATAGTGTTTTATACGAATTTTGGCATGTAACAATATAGAAAGATTACAGATGTGTTTAAGGATTTGAAAATTAGCACTTGTTTTCGTTTTAAATTAAATATGAAGTGAAAAATGTTAAAAGATTTTTATTTTAATACGTTATTTTCTTATTTTAAATGTTATTATACCATGTAATAGTGTTTTATACGAATTTTGGCATGTAACAATATAGAAAGATTACAGATGTGTTTAAGGATTTGAAAATTAGCACTTGTTTTCGTTTTAAATTAAATATGAAGTGAAAAATGTTAAAAGATTTTTATTTTAATACGTTATTTTCTTATTTTAAATGTTATTATACCATGTAATAGTGTTTTATACGAATTTTGGCATGTAACAATATAGAAAGATTACAGATGTGTTTAAGGATTTGAAAATTAGCACTTGTTTTCGTTTTAAATTAAATATGAAGTGAAAAATGTTAAAAGATTTTTATTTTAATACGTTATTTTCTTATTTTAAATGTTATTATACCATGTAATAGTGTTTTATACGAATTTTGGCATGTAACAATATAGAAAGATTACAGATGTGTTTAAGGATTTGAAAATTAGCACTTGTTTTCGTTTTAAATTAAATATGAAGTGAAAAATGTTAAAAGATTTTTATTTTAATACGTTATTTTCTTATTTTAAATGTTATTATACCATGTAATAGTGTTTTATACGAATTTTGGCATGTAACAATATAGAAAGATTACAGATGTGTTTAAGGATTTGAAAATTAGCACTTGTTTTCGTTTTAAATGAAATATGTAATGAAAAATGTTACAATATTTTTATTTTTAATATGTTATTTTCCTGTTTTAAATGTTGTTATACTAAGTAATAGTGTTTTATACAAATTTTGACATGTAACACCGTAGAAAGATTACAAATTTGTTTAAGGATTTGAAAGTTGGTATGTGTGTTCATTATAAAAAAATGTACTCGGAGTTTATTTTTAATTTTAATGCATTATTTCTTTATGTATATAAATATTACTTATAACAATAGTGTTTTATAATGTTCCTACAAACTTTTTACATGAAATAAACCATTTTAATGATTTACTCGTTTGTTTTGTATTTGAAGGAAGCTAAACAACAGTAATGTAGCTTCTCGTGTAAAATCTTCAATGTATAATATGCATCATATCACTGCATAATATGGCGCAACCAAATTGAAAGCATAGCTAATCTAAGATTTCTGCAGGTATCTGTTTTTTCAAAGAAACAATTCATGCTGCTTTGTTGCCTATAAAAAATTAGCCGTCATTACCTTTAATTAAATACATTGCATTTAATTTATGTTAACGAATGTCAACTATATGTTTTTTTAAGTGAAAAGTGGTTTCCAGTTCTGTCAGTCACAACTTCCAGGTTGCCAGGTATACACAGGTATGTTGTTGTTAATTATTTACACTCACCGTGTTTTTTAAGAAAATATACTCAAATAAAGTTTTCTTCTTTCTGTATCCGATAATATCTGGTTACCTGTAAGAAAGGACGCAATTAGTGGTTGGCAATATTGAAATAATTACTTTTTCATCATATCTCAGCTGTAACATTTGAAAAAAATAATTTATACATACTGGTCAATCAAAGTAATGAAATATGTATTTCATAATAACTATACAAGAAAATGTTGCGTTGTTTTTACTAATCATGTTTTTTCATCATCATAAGGTCGTCAGTCCTAAAACTGGTTGGACACCTACCTACACTCTTTCCTATCTTGAGCTAATCTTCGCATTTCCCTAAAACTAGAATAACCCACATCCTTAACTATTTGCGAACATTAATCTAATCTTGGTCTACCTCTATCCCACCTAACTCCCGTTTCTACCTCTAATATGACTCTGCCTGAGAAGGTGTCCTGCTAATCAGTCTCGCCTATTTCTTATTGACTTCCATAGAATCCTTTGTTTTCGTATTCTTTTTACTACCTCTTCATTTCTACCCTTCTCTATCCACGATATCCTCATTATTCGCCTATAACATCACGTTTCGAATGCTTCTAATATTTTTTTCCTACACGTCCACTGTCCATGTTTCGCACCCGTACAGCGTCGCGCTCGAAACACACTTTTAACAATCTTTTTCGAATTTCTAAATTAAACGTTCGCGAGCGTAGAAGTGACTTTTTTTTATTGAAGACGACTGGACCTTGCGTTATCCTCTACTTTATATCCCTACTACTCCTTCCGCCCTGACTTATCAGACTACCTAGATACCTAAAATCAGTCACTTCTTCTAATTTTTCGTCTCCTATCACCTATTTAGGTATGGTTACTACCATGTTTCTTTTATAATCCTCTGGGACATTCTCCATCTCGTAAATGTGACTAACTTAAACGTACCTTCTCTAACCTTTTGTCCTGCATGTTTTAGAATTTACCGCTGTATCCCATCTACATCTGGCGCCTTATTATTCTTTAAGTTTTTTAATGCTACATCGTACTCTTCTCTCATCGGATAACCAAGCTCATCTGTCTCCACATTATCTTCCTTTTCTAAATATTCTTTCCGCCTATCTCCCTTTTCTTAATTTTCCTTGTATTATTACTACTATACCCTACATCTAAAATTTAAAATTCCTTTTTCTTAATTATATTATAAGCCTCATCGGTTTTACCTACTTCTTTACACCTCCTATTAATCCACTGTTCCTCAGCTGCCCTACATTTCCTAATTATTTCCCACTTTATTGTAATGCACTTCTTTTTTGCCCTTCTTCGTCTGTCCTGTGTTTGTGTTTCCGCCTTTCTTCTATTAATCCTATAATCTCATTTGCTATCCAGGGTTTCCTAATACTTTCGTTTTATTTAAGACGTAGTATATCTGTAGCTGCTGATTTTAGGCACGTTTTAAAGCAGTTCCATTGTGTCTCTATGTCCCTGTCATTCGGTTCCCCTGCCGCCTTTAATATTTCGTCTGTCCTTGTACCTAGCCTGTCACGCGTTTCGTTACATTTTAACTTTTCATTTAAGTCAAGACGTCTCCTACCATTCTTCTTTTTCAGAATTTTAAATTTAATATTGGTCTTCATAACTACTAAGTTTTGATCGCTATATCTGCTCCTGGATAACTACTACAGTCCTTCACTTGATTTTTAAATCTTTGCCTAACAAGTATGTAATCTAACTGATATCTCACTAAATCACCTGCATCTTCCACATAATGCACCTTTTAACGTGATGGTTGAATAAAGTATTCGCGACGGTTAAGTTATGTTCATCACCAAATTCTATCAATCTATTACCTAGTCTAAAGACTATTAGGTTATCCTACCCTTTCACTAAACTTAACGCGTCTTCTATATCTGCATACACCGCTTTTTTGTCTCCATTCGTAACTCGGTATTATGCGTTAGGATGTTAAGTCGAGAATAACTCCAATCTATCGGATATGTCTTTTTAAATTGGAATATTGGCTTAAATAACTTCTGCACAAATAGTCTCCCCTCGAATAATCACTCGCTTGTCTTCCCTTCTCAATCCCTCAGGTACTTTACCCACTGACAAATTCCGAATTGGTGACGTACTAGCTAAATTGGGTTTTCCAGATGTATCGGGTGGTTGGTACCTACCTAGACGGGTGCTATAAAGTGACCTCAAGACTAATTTGTGCAGATTTTGATACTATTATAGGAACAGAAAAATTCGAGTTTTTTTTTTGGTTTTGTAAAATTTTCTCTAATTTAAAACTAGAGAAACATGCAAAAATGTATACAAAAAGACAGTACAATAAGTAGACAACTGAATATCAATATCGCAATACACACAATCATAGACAAAAACAGTAAATAAAATACATATATACAAGTGGGGAATGCAATAACTTGTTATTAGATTTTCCAACGACATATGGTTTGTTGGGCTAAATCACGATCTGTAGAAACTTCCAGAAAGTTGGTTCATAAAACGTTCTGAAATATTTCGATGTAATTGTCTAAAGCCTCCTCCTTCTTCAATCTTCTTTCTGCTTCAATCTTCTTCTACCCCACACCTGACATCAAATGTCGCGTAATTAAACACTGCTCTACTAATTTATTTAATTATTCTTTAGTTAGTATTACTCTTATTAATTAATGACTCGTTCCCCACTATATCGCACACTGTATCGCCTGTTCGCTGTCCTTATATTTTGGTTTTTTATTGCTTCGTAGCTATAACTAGAACTGTCTTCTTCAGAACTTGCGGTATATATTCCTGGGGACTGGCGTTACTCTAGAGCAGGGATGGCGAACCAACGGCACACGTGCCATTAGTGGCACGCGGCACAATATTTTGAGCACGGCACAAATGTTTCTGAGATTAATTCTATAATCAAGAAATTTTCAGCGAGATTTTATTAGTTCAGAGAATTATCGGAAATACTCTGGTTTATTGTACCCTGATGTGACGTCATTTGGTAAACTGACTTTGAATTAAAGAATTTAAAATGCAGCTGATTGATTTCCAGTCTAGTTCAGTATGGATTCAAAAATTTGTTGAAACAAGGAAAGAGTTAGAATTAATAGAAACAGAAATATTGACAGGGAATACATGTGAATATGCAAATAACAAAATTTTGGAAACATGGAATGTGCTACCAAATACATTTAATTGTTTGAGAAGTTGACCTATGCTATTTTAAGAATGTTTTCATCCACCTATGCCTGCGGTCATTATTTTTAGAAATGAATAACATTGAAAATTCGGTTACAAACCATTTGACAGATGACTCCAGTTAAGCATGCATTCTGCTAAAAGTAACATCTTACAACCCTAACATAAGTTATTTATTATCTAATCTGCAGCAACAGAAGTCACACTAATTTTATTTTAATTTAAATTACACGTATAATTTAAACATTGCAAAATGTCGCAGTTACAAACCGTTTGGTAGATGACTCCAGTTCAGCATGCATTCTGCTAAAATTAACATCTTACAACCCTAACATAAGTTATTTATCATCTAATCTGCAAAAACAGAAGTCACACTAATTTTACTTTAATTTAAATTACACGTATAATTTAAACATTGCAAAATGTTCCTATTTTCTAGTAGAATTTTTAGTTGATATTATTTATTATTATTATTTTCCCAATAATCACAGAGACAAAATTATTTGATGGCACGTCTATCTCCTGATTAAACTTTTCATTATAAAAATGGCACGTCTATGCGTAAAGGTTCGCCATTCCTGCTCTAGAGTATAGGTTCCAGCTGGGTTCTAGAGACGCTAGCCTTCTTTGTTATAGCTACTAGCGTAGTCTCGGCAGTCCACTATAGTCCTTTTAATGCTTCTTCACATATGTTAGGTTACCTACACGTGACAGTGTTATTTTTATTATTGCTGAAGTACATGAACTTTTTTTAACAAAGGGTGCTTATTACTAAAGTTACGATAGAAGAAAGAAAGAGGGCATACATAGGATTTGTAGATTTAGAAAAAGTTTTTGACAATGTAAAAGGGACAAGATGTTAAATATACTTAAAAATGTAGGGATGAGTTATAAAGATAGAATAGTGATACTAAGTTTGTATAAAGAGCAACAGGCAGTTATAGACATGGGGCTGCAACGTAGAGAAGTAAATATTAGGAAGAGAGTCAAACAGGGATATACGTACAGTGTCACCGCTACTTTTTAATCTATACATCGAAGAAGTAGGGATAGATATACAGATAACTTTAAATAAAATGGAAGCGGTATTGACAAAACACTATTGTATGAAGACCTAGATTAGATTACTGTTCGCAAATAGTTAAGGATATGGGTTGTTCTAGTTTTAGGGAAATGTGGGGATTAGTTCCGGATAGGAAAGAGTGGAGGTACGAAGTGAAGAAGCCATATAATATCGCAGAAATTCACACGTGCCTTTTTTTTAGTTTATCAAGATGTCATAAATGCATCAATCTTAGCAGTTGCACTTTTCTTCTATAGAACTGTCATTATGTCACCATATAAAAAAAATTTAAAATGTCTAAATTCGAAATGAAAAATTAATTATGGAGAAACTATTTTTATTTGAAATAATTATTGAAACCATTAATTTCAAACTGAATCCTGCGCCACATAGAGATGATATAATAATTTATATTTCTCTTGGAGATATTTTCTTCTTAAAAAGTTTTTACAGTGCCTTTTCGCAGCTGGAAGTTCAACGTAAGTAAATAGAAAATTAGATCACTAATCATATAGTTCAAGCACCAGACACCAAACAAATACAAAATGTGATGGTCTATTGGAACGAGACAAATTTGCCTTTTAATTAAAAATATAGGAGACACCACCTAAAGTCTAAAACATCGAGCGAGGCACCAGACATTATTTCTTATTGTAAAATAGTTTTAAAATCAGTTTACTTCTGTATAGCTCGAAGACTAAGCTTCTAGCGGAAGATGTTTATTACAAAAATTGTTCAGGTTAAGTCACTTTTATGCTCGTGAACGGTTAATTTAGATATTCGAAAAAGATTGTTAAAGGTGTGTTTGGAGCGCGGCGTTGTACGGGTGCGAAACATGGACAGTGGGTTCGGCGAAAAAGAAAAGATTAGAAGCCTTCGAAATGTGGTGTAGGCGAATGATAAGGATAACGTGGGTAGAAAAGCTTAGAAATGAAGAGGTATTAGAAAGAATAGGAGAACAGAGGCGAGATAGGTTGGTAGGACACCTTCTCAGGCATGAAGGTATAGTCAGAGACATAATAGAGGCACAAACAGGAGTTAGGAGGGGTAGAGGTAGACCTAGGTTAGATTACTGTTCGCCAATAGTTAAGGATGTGGGTTGTTCTAGTTTTAGGGAAATGCGAAATTTAGCTCAGGATAGGAAAGAGTGGAGGTGCGTGTCCTACCAGTCTTAGGACTGAAGACCTTATGATGATGAATTATAGACACTGATTAAGTACTTAAAAAAAATGAAACATTTTTTTCGTTGCTTAAACGAGTAAAGAAGAAGAAATGAAAACGCATAAAATACACAAAATGTCAAACCTCTAAAAAGTCAACTGAAAATTTTTCAGGGTGATTCTCTTTATTTTATTAACCTCTGGAATAATTTACCAAAAGTCAACTGGACGGCTACAAAAGTTATAGTTGGTCAAATATCATGAAAAACAATTTTTCGCAAATATCTATCATTTTAGCGGAAATCAGAACTGAGTTCATCTGGTGCAGGAGAAGCTGAGTAGTTGTTGATTGTAATAAATTATTATTTAAAGTCCAACCGTATTGCTTAAGGTTTATAAAGAGTGCACGCACACCAAAGTGGTCTGAGTGCGAGAGGCCTGGGCCTCGAATGGGCTCTAGTAAAAATTTGCTTATTACTAATTGAAAACCCTTGCAAATGACCTTTATAGTTGTTCTTCAAGTCTCTAACTTCATTTTTAGTCTTTAAGGTGTTAACTTCAAAAAGAAAAGATAGTATCGACTTTTCAGAATATTTATAATTTCAAACGTGGTAAGAATATGACGAGAAAAAAAGGTAAAGGTCTAGATGATGGCCCCTCATCCCCCAAGGGGGTTGGGTTGGGGGGGATCGGAAAAGATCTCCCCCACCACTGTACCATAAAAAGTTCGTGGCGGTCTCACCTCCATAAAAGGTTATGGGGGTTCAAAGTTAATAAATATACCAATTTTTATACATTTCTAGGCATGTAAATATTTATATAGTCATTCTTAAACAATATTCAAAGGTAAAACTAATGAAAAATACATAAAAATATTGAGAAAGTTATATAAAACATTATTTAAATATCTTTATCAATAGGGTAGGTTAGGTTAGGTTATCGGGTTTTGTTCAAGTGACCACCCTCTTTCGATCCCCCACCTCCACTCGCTTGAAAATAATTTTTTTATTGAATTTTATTTGAATTATAGTGTATGAAAATTGTCAAAATAATCAACTTTCAACCCCCATAACTTTTTATGGGGGTGAGACCGCCGCAAATTTTTTTATGGGGTTTTACTCAGGTGAGCACCCTCTTTCGATCCCCCCACCCATCTAGACCTTTACCGAAAAAAATAATAGGAAAAGAATCAGTTTGATACCATATTAGAAATTGTTAAACATCTTGAGTGACAGTAGTTCGTAGGCTTTCTCGGCAGATGTCTAATTGATGATGAAGGGCTTAATAGATGGCGAAACGTCAGCAATTAGAATTCGATCACTGCAGAAAAGCCCAAAAACTCTTCATCATAAACCTTGAGTGACCTATTGTTAATTATTTTTTTCTTTTATCTCGAATAGTGTTCTATTTCGTTATCAAAATCTGTTATCGTTTCGTAGGTATATTTATGTTTATAAACCCTAACAGTAGTTTAGGAGCGTTTGCTGTCGAAATTTGGTTACCTGATTACAAACAAATTTCATCGCTTGATATCTATGTTGCTATTTTTCATACTATTGCAAGAGCAACTGGTCTGGTCTTTATTCTTGAGTCATGATTTCGTCATTTTGTGTGGCATAATTGGCTTCCTCACTGCGATCGATTCGCAATTTCAATTTTGAACCGTGGAAATCCGGTATGGACGGAGATAATTTGAGCCATGAAAATCGATAGAGAAAGTACTTCGTTTACTTTCCACAAGTAAACAGCTAGTCCTGATCCAATGGAGTTGGGTTGGTGGTTCGGGTGATTGACCAGTGATTGGTTGCTTTCGTTTCAGCAGAATTATCGATCAGTCTTATAGCATATATACTTAGATCTCTCAGGTTCTGTTGCCTGACCTGTTAAGGTTTTCGTGTAATCATTGTCATCTGTCGCCGTGGGAGTTTTGGGGGGTATAACTAGATGGCACTGTCGACTGCACTGTATTAACATTGAGAGCATTTCAGAGGTACTGGTGATCTTATCGGCTGGGTTGATATTATTATCAGTAGACTGCTGACTAAGGTGTCCTAGTATAACGATAATTAAGGCACCTTAGTTTATGCAGGTCGCGGAGTGGTGCCTGCATGTTGGCAGCGTATGAACTATAACACCTATTGTAATAATAATGCCAAAGAACCGATGAAGCTACGTGGTGGTGGTCAGCTTAGGAAAATCTCTATTGGCTTCGACCTCCTCCGTGGATGATTGAAAACCCTCGCTTGAGACTGTATATCCTAAACAGGTTACATGTGGTTGTAAAATGGTGCATTTTTCTGTTTCGGTGCAGAGCTTCACACATTGGAGAGCGTCCTAGAGTTAGTGCAAATGGTCCAGGCTTTTGTCGAACCCGTCTGACACGATGGATTTGTCATCGATTGCACCGCATTCCACAGTCCCAATGACGCGGCAATAAAACTCAAAAAGACCAAACGAAATTGTTACGGTGGTTTTCTCGATGTGCTTCCCGGAAATAAGCACCTGATAGAAGGCCTTCCAGATGTCATCCGTTCTTCGATGAGTGGAAGTGGGCTAGCGATCGGAAACTGTGCAGGCAATGGTCACCTGTAACGCGTTAGAAATCATACTTGTGTGCCATGTGTAGTGGACTTCCTCCTTCAGGTCAGTGAAGGCCTACTTTGCGACGGTGAGCTTGTAAGTAGCTAGCCTATATTGGTGCTCGGCAGTGGACGGGGCTGATGTTTTGCTAGAAAGCGTCCTGGTATTTTTTCAGCTTTACACAGCGCTGGACCAGTTTGTCGTTGTTGATTGAGGCCGACTAGAACACTCCTCGAGTCAGAGTGCCGTGTGTCAGAGTGATGATGATGAGGGGACTGATTAATCACTTGTTTTTACTATTAACCATAAGAAGGCTGCGTTTCATCTGGAAATCCACTCATAGGCTGGCATAAGAGACGTCAACAAGATGAAGTTTATATGTAGCCAAGAGTTTTTTTGCGAATATGCCGTTGTTGTATGGTTTCAGAGCAAGATCAATGTTAGAAATGCTAAGCGAATTTTCCAACATGCCGCGATGTACGCCACAAGTACTGGTTGTAAAACGAGGCCTTTCAATGGAGTGAATGGTAGTGTAGGAAACGGGTGGAGTTCGAACTAACTGACACAGTATGCGCAAGTGGTTATGTGGTCCGACGTCTTCCTCCGCGATTGATTTGAAAAACTTTTTCTTTCTCTAGTGTTGTTTTCTGTTTTCTACGGCACATTTGATCATCTAGTGAATGAAATATATGTTTTCATCTTTACCTTATCCTATCCTCTGTTTCCTTAGAGCTTTTCTTTTTGGAAAGTGTATCCACTTCACCGTATGGTTTTCTTCTTCACTGTAATATAATTTCAAACCTATTTTTCGTTCTTTGAACAATACGCTAGAGTGTTTACTATTTAATTTAGAACACCATTGTTTTTAGTGGTAATTTTTATAGGGGCTTTATTGGCGTAATTGATTTTTTTCTTATCTGCTTAATGTATCTCCAGATTCTACTCTTATTACTAACCACTGAAATTATTTCTTTGTGAGAGAACAAGACCTATAAAAAAAATCTGATCTGTGTATGGTTCCTCCATTAAAAGTTTAGAATTATTTTAGGTATATGTGTTAGACAGCTTTATCAACGAGTCAGTACCTGACATTAGCGGCAAATTAGAAAAGTAATAAGATAACCGTTTATCTTTATCACGGGTAGTCAACCCAAATGCTCTTGCGTGTCACTTTGGAACTAAATCACAACTCCGCGGGCCATCTATAAAAGTATGTATCTCCATATCAGATTTACACCCACGATAGACTTTTTGTGAACTCATAACTGTAAACTCATTAATAAAACAGGTAATATATGTCGTATGTTCACACAACATTATTTTAAAATCAAGGTTACTTTTTTTCATAATTTCGACAGTTAATTTTTGAATATATGATCACACAGATAATGTATTTTTGGATGAGGCTACTTACCGGTACCTTACCGGTAACTAAGAAGCTATTCGCCGGTATTGTGTTAGAATACTTCGTTTACTTTGTGTAGCGATGTGACCTTCAGTTTTGACCGGCACAATGTAAAAAAGAACAGGACTAGGCCAGAAAAGGAAGGAGACAACTCTCGCCCAAACTGTTAACCGATGAGGAGCGTGTAATCCGTACAGTACTGCACGGAAAAAATGACCATTTTATCCACTACAATTGCATTGCTCAAATGTACCATTATTGGTACCATTTACTACAGAAAATAACGAGATGTTTATTTATAATTGAAGACGTATTAAAGGCTTTAACGCTTGTTTTCGACTCACACTACTGTTCATGATTGAACAAAACTTTTGGCAGGTAGTGTATGAAAAAGTATGTTTAATGAACAAGAGTCGAGAGTATAAGGAGCTTTTTCCTCCCCACCTACGATTTTTCCAGCGCGCATCCAAGACATTGGAAGGAGCACATCGTTACAGAAAGTAAATCAGGTATAGCTATGAAGCTGTTTTTATGAACCTATAGAACTAATGAGCGTAGTGCATGATTGAATATCGTTTAAAGTGTACTTAATGTACGTCCCACCTTGAACAATTTTCGAACTTAAAATTTCCACAGTATTGAGTATTAATGGACAGGGGTGCCTATGCAAAATTCAAAAATTCTATTTCTTCAACTGAAAATTAAAAGGGGTGATTATATCATGGATACCTATACATGAACATCAAATTTTTAGCCGAAAACTAACAAGCTAAATTTATTTATTATTAATTTTAGAAATACCAACTACCCCTACTATAGAATACAATACTGGTAAATCTTACATATTTACCTATCCTGTTGAAAAATTTCGGAATGTATTAAAAGAAAATCCATTACTTCTAACCTTTTACGAAGAGAATTCAGCCGTAGGATTTGCGGCCCTCCCGTGGCATGACGCGTTTATTTATATGGTGGATGAAAACATTACCTATTCAACTATAAATTCACCACCAGTTTGTTATACCGATGAAGTCGATATAATGAGAGGTTCAAAAAGAATAGGCACAACACACGTTTTCGTTCGACTGACTTGCTTTGGGAAATCTCTATCAACACTTTTTCAAGTTGCCGAGGTCCCTAATACACTACAAGCAAGACAATTTTTCTTTAGGGGAATGGGAAGAGAAATCGTCTTCCAAGCACAAAGGTAGCATGTTTAATATAGTTCTATATTTATTTGTTAAAAATATTATTACAATTGTAATAGATATGGCTTGGGAGCATCTTCAGAAATTATACCTGTAGCACCTTTGTTTAATTCACCCCATGGCGTCGGCGATGAAGATTCTTTTGAAACAGTTTTGAACGAATCTAAAGCATCGCAATTTTCTTACTTTAAGGGTAACAGAAAATCGGTCGGCGGTGTTGATAGATATAATATTCAGAACTTAACTATGAAAGATTTTCAAAACTGTTTATGTAAAAATCCTGACTGTCCTGGTAATGCTAGCTTTAGACAGTTCGGGTTAGATATATTAAAACAAAATAAAAGAAAAAGAATTACTCGATCCTCTGACGACGACATTCCTATCGATCATGGACTTACTCATGTTACCGGGAGTATTGAGGGTTATGGTCCTTGTAGCTCATATAGGAGACCAAAGCAACTGCAACAGTCATTTATTCCCAAAGATGCAAATAAGCATAAATGCTTACGAGGTGGTAGCCCTTTACGTTTGAAGGGAGGTGGTAACGAAAAAATTGAATTTAAAGAACGTAAACCTTTTAATTTTGAACAGTTAGCGTCTTTTGGTTTGGAAGATCCAGCAACTACATGTAAAAGTTTATTAAACGAATTTGATAAGTGTATAGAATCTTTTAAAGATACAATTGGTCCTTGTAAAACGGCAACCTGTTCATATGCTCCTAACGTATTTCAAAAAAAGTGCATATGTCCAAGTTCGATTCGAAATCGCATGTTAAATTCAGGTAATAGCCAGGAATCTCTTACATTTGAAATAGATGAGCCTCAAAAACCTATATGCAAGAAAAAATCAGAAAATCAGGAGCCAACGACTAAGGCATCGGATCCTGAATTTTCTGTTCCGAAAGTGTCTACTAGTAGGGAATCTCAATGTGATCCATGTAAAATTATACAAGAATGCATGGCATCCACGCCAGATAAATCTCAGGAGAATGATAATGCCGTTATAAATTCAAACGTTTATACTGAAAAGGTATCGGCATGTGGTATTCCAAATTGTCCTCATTCGAGATTGGTTTGTACTAAGGTTGACAAAAATTTTAAATCACGACAAATAAAGCCAGCATGCGGTTCGGTCAATTGTCCTTTTGCGAAACAAATCATTGGAACTGCTAATGAGGATGACATGCTTTCCCTTCAATATTTAAGCTTAAAACCTGAAGCAACTTGTGGAAAATATACAAGTCCATACAAAGTTCCAAATGAGGTTCCACTCCCACCAATTCATTGGGATTGTCCAGAGCCGTTGCCTGAGGGTAATTGTAGAAATCCAGATTGTCCTTTTTTGCCTGAAATTTTAAGAAAACTGAAACCTAAAAGTATTATTGATGAAATTTTAAAAAGTGACATCAAGGAATCATGTGGAAATCCATGTTGTCCGTACTGTTGTTATCCACCAACACCCCCCTGTGGAAATCCAGCGTGTCCTTGTTGCGTTTCTCCGCCTCTTTGCAACTCTCCACCTCCTTCACCATGTAAAGTACAGTCTCCTGCTCCGTATCAGCCACCCCCACCACTCGCGTATAAGATGGGAAAGCCATGTGGTTGCAATCTAGAAGCACGGGCTTCACCCCCTCCGTGCGGCAATCCTCTTTGTCCAAATAATAATTCCAATCAGTTAGAAAATTCTAAAATAACATGCCCGAATATAGAATGTCCCAATAAATCTGATAATGAATCGGAGCAACCAGAAGTAACTTTACCACCTAAAGTGTATGACGATGAAATACCATGTCAACCACGCCAAAATGCAAGTGGTGCTTATGACCCATGCAGAAACCCCAATTGTCGATTTGCAAAAGTTGACAACGTCTGTATTAATCCTAAATGTGTTTACAACAAAACGGCCATTGAAGATACCTGGTGTGGAGATACTGCATGTTACTTAGACAGTAAATATTTTGAAAAAGGCGAAGAAGATTTTTGTAAACAACTAATCTGTCCCCGTATTTCATTTACGGGATTCTTGTACAAATAACTATCTTATCTTTAACTTTTACATAACATGATCATTTCAAAAATTTAATTAAACAACTAAATCTAACTAAAATAGATTATGTATAAGTATAAATAATTTTATTGTTGGATTATCACAAGGAAATAAATTATTTCTCCAAGAAAAGTAATTTATTTATTTACTGTAAAATACATCATGCTTTTTAATAAAGCAATACTTTCAGTTGTCATTTCTTTCCCAAAAGTAATATCTATAATTGTAAGAAATCAGGCCAAATAAGGCTAGAAGGTCATAATTAATGTGAAACCACAAACCAACATTTCGCGACTACGGGGCGTACTCAGGGTTAGGTTAGATTTACATATTACAGATCCGTCTTATTAGAGTAAACGTAGCCAAAAAAAGAGGCAGTTTTCGAACAATTTGGAACTGCATTAATATTCACAAAAACATTTGACATGTGTTCTAAACAAGTTAAAGTTCAAAGTATACTTCTGGTTGGTATTGTACGCTAAATCTGCATTTGTTTATTAATAACAAACAAACTGCAACATAGTTGTTAAATGATATATTTCTAAAGAAATAGGAGTTTTTGGGTGTCCTGAATTTGATGTCAGATTTGCAAAATTCAAAATGGTGAATACAAAATGGCCGACCAAAACAAAAACTGCAAAAAGAAATATAATTTCGGTTTAAACTTGGTAGTCATATATTGTCGTATTCATCTCGAATTTTTCAATTGTTTTTTTTTTAATATTGATTTAATCAAATACATTAATGTATGGAGAATGGCAGTAGCCTGCGCGTGAGATTATGGGTTTGTACCGAAATATAACTCAGCATACGTTGCATGAATCGACGCCATATTGTACCGGTGTGCCACCATATTGTACTGGTGAGACAAGTATGACGTAGTAGTACATCAAACGGACATATGTGGATGAGGCTTTGAAGATCCTTTTTATTGTAAGAAAATTGTTGTAAACGAGCACTATTCTCAATATGGCATCAATTTAACGCCAACGCACTGGCCAGTATATTTCGGAACGAATCAACACTATGGCGTCAATTCATAACATCATCAATACCGGTCAATATGGTGGATTATATTTCGGAACACAACCTATCTCTCATGCTATAGCATCATAGCTCTTTCTGTTTGCCTGCTTCGAGCTTTCCCACCAATCCGTTGATATCGTAATCTACTCTTATAAAGCCTCGGTAATACTTCATATTTCTCTACAATTACTTTAAAGGTGGAAAATTTCGTTATAATATTTTACATTACTATCTTTTGTTCACCTAAGCACATTATAGAGATGCTGAGATTTAAATCGATTCCATGTTCACAGAAAAGCATATGCATACACGATGTACTGATACACTACCCTAATTTGGATATTACATCAACTCATTCTATACAAGTTGCCTCGAATGGATCAGTAATTTATCAATATTGGCCATGGCGTGGTTTTTATTAAACGACATTAACATCTGTTGTTTCGATAAATTACTGAAGAATTTATACAAGTATATTTTTTTATTAATTTAGAAGATCAAAACTAGTTCTCGCTGAAATCAGGTTCATATATGTGTGAGATACTAAAAATTAAAAATAGGTTAGCATTCTTCTATAATAACAAGTTTCCCATGACAACCTACAGTTTTTGTGTTTGATTATCGACATTACCTTAATTGATAGTTGCCACATGAATTAACTCACCTGTTTTAATTTCGGGATTAATATTGACTTTTAGGAAAGAAGTATAGAACAGTGATAGGACTTATCTATCAGTTGCCTTATAGTCTAGGTTATGCTTTATTGAGGCTTATAGCTTACCTTCAGTGGAAGTATGGCCGTAGCTGGGGGGCAATGTCCTACCTTAAAAACACCAAAAGCTAAGATAAATTATTAGGTATCTAAACTTTTCCGAACATACCACAGTTTGTGACATTCTTTTCATATTATAATAATTCTTTGTTCTGTGTATAGACGGCTTTGGAGCGCCATCACATGAAGCGATGGGTCTATTTACTTATAATATCTGTGATGCAGAGGAGATTCCCCGTACCATAGATTGCAATATGGACTAATAAGTTTGCAGAAACAATATTATCTAAATGGTATTTTTGGTCGTATCTATTTACTCGTATCACTCTACCCAACGATTAATTATTACCTCACTCTCACTTAGACGTGGATCTCTACATCCAAATCTGGAAGTTCAACCAGCTTGTTCGCTTGTTCTTTATTATGGAGGATTTAATAGTTCTTAGATACATGCTCATGCTCTGTCACAGAAATTATTTGTCTACGAATAGCTATTGAATGTACATCACTGACCTAGAGGTCAGTAAAATACAAAGTGATTGATTTAGGAGCCCGTGCTTCGAGGGCAAATCAATTATGGTCAATTTTTTACTTTCGCCCTACCTGTAATCAATGCTTCCCTACCTCAAATTCGACTCTAGCTACAGCCCTGATTGATAGTGGTTTTTATTCTATCAATCCGTTACTCCATCTTTCTTGGTAACGTATTATATTATTTTACCTGAAACTCCAAGATGGTCTCTTGCCGTGGGAAAAAAGAAAAAGTAATAAAAACTTTAGAAAACGCCGCAAAATGTAATAGCAGACCTACTGAAAAAGTGAGGCCATTTGTTGAAGAAGCGTTTAAACCCTCTCCAGAAAATGACAGAAGACATGCAGGAAATTAAATCTCTTCTTTTTAACTCCAATTTATTTACAATCTGTTCTTGTAGGACAATAAGCAAATTTAATATTACAAATCGACATAAAAATAAAATAGTGTAAAGAGGTCAAATAATATCATTTTGGTAACAGTCCATCGACTGTACACAAATTACGTAACTTCTATATATATAAAAGAGAGTCGTCTTAGTACACCATTTATAACTCAAGATTGGCTGAACCAATTTGACTGAAAATTGGTGGGGAGGTAGCTTACAACCGGGAGAAGGACATAGGATACTTTTTATCACGTTCCACGAGAAAAATGTGGTATATGTAAACGCAACTGACATGGAATGACAAAACGAAGTTGACAGCAAAACGAAAAATTTATAAATCAAATCATCAGTCTACCCGTTCATTTGTTAAAAATGGTATAACAAAACGCAACTGACAGCTAAACGTAATGTTATCTAGGTTAAGTATGGTGTTTTATTTATAATCAGATTTACCTGAAACTTGGTTTAATGCTTTTTCATATAAAATTAGTGACGTACATACCTATTTCAACATTTTACAAAATTGCACCTCTTTAGGAAGCTGAAAGGGGTTTGCAAAAATTGCAAGTTTGGTGTTAGTTCGATTTACTTGAAATTGGTTAAAAAATTCAATCTCTGTTGGGGGGAATGCATGGTGAAGTGGAGTTGCAATGTTTACTTGGAACATATATCATTTGTGGTAAGATTTACTTGAGACTTGGTCTTAATGGTCTCTCATTTAATTTCTAAAAGACCTATCTCGACATTTTAAAAAATTCAACCTCTAAAGCAGGGGGGGGGTAAAAACGTGTTGAATTTTTGTTTGGGACATACTTTATTTGTGGTTGAATTTACTTGAAATTTGGTATATATGCTGTTTGATATTATTAATCAAATGAAAAGAGGTTGCAACGTTTCCATGGGCTACATTTTATTTGTACTCGGATTTACTCGAAGGATGCTCATTGCTGAAATTAAGCAAATACGTGTTTTGGCAATTTTTAAAAATCAACCCTTAAGGATGAAATGTTGTTGCTACGTTTGTATTTGAAAGATGGCGACATTACACAAAATTAAAACGTTGTAAGGGTGAATTGGGAGCTAAAAGGTTTTATGGAGAAAGAATATTAATTTCTGGGAGCGAAGCCGCGGGGAAAAGCTAGTT